TGCAATATGATGTGACCAAGTTGACAAAAAGGAACATGTTAAACATCCTACGCTTTGAGAAGAATCATTTAATATATAGAAAATATCACAACAATTTGTCTACTAATTAAAGTCCTGCTAATATGATCGATTATAAAATAACAAAAATAATCATCATTAATAAATTGAGATAAGAGAGGCATTTGGTGTTGTTTTTCATGTAATTGAAATATTATCTAAACTTAAATATTAAACTACGAATGTTTTCTTTGTGGTATTGTACTTTCCAGTGAGTTATTAATTTGTTTGATTATGATCTTCAGACAACTTCCTGCATGCATTTTTGACTGTTTTATTCACGTAAAGAATTAATGTAAAGAATATTAAGTTTGACTTTATTGTTTTCCTACACCAATCACATTACGTCACATTATTTTCCTGTGTTTTGACTATGTTATTTCCTCTTTGTATATTCTCCAATCTGGAATTATCAAACCATGTGAATTCATAAACTACGAGAGTTGGAGGATGATTAAGATAAACTTTACAGAAAACAACTAATTCATAAAGTAGATGTTTCGTAAATACAGTCTATGGACCAGGTTTTTCAAGGATTTTTGTTGTTACCTTCGAAGTACTTTTTAAATAAATTTAATAGGACAGAATGTCAGCCTCCATGTAGCAAAACATAACTAGATGAAATGTGAAGATAATGAACAGTATTCATGCTAAAAAGCCCAATTAAACAGTATAAATTGTGAGTAACCCCCCCCCCCCACCCACCCCAAAGATGTCCCTTGTCATGATTGTGTAAACGAAGAAATCAGTATAACATGAATTGTATGTTGTCTTACGTCCCATCTGAGAATTTTTTACTCATATAGAGACTTCATCATATACCTGTTAAGGGCTTCAAGTTTAGAACTTTATCCCAACTCGGGGCCATTGAGCAGCGAGGGATCTTTAATACTGCCAACGGCTACCGTGACAAGGGGCCTAACTTTTAAGGTCTAATCCGAGAGTCCTGCAACTTTCACTTCAGGGGCTGAGTGCTTCGCGAAGGAACAGTTGCTACCTATTTTTTTCGACTTTGGTCTGTCGCGTCCGCGGCTTGAACCTTCCGATCATAGAACGAGCGCTCTACCGACTGAGCTACCGAGACGGTTCAGTATGAAAATACTGCAGTAATGGGTTGTAAGGTCTGCGAACGGTAGAATTGTTTCGCCGCCTACCTCCAGATCAATTTTCTAAAATTATCATATTCCAATATATATACTTTTTTTAATTTATATACATTTTCATAAAAATTGAATTATCTATCAAACAAAAAGGGAGATGACTCTATATTTGTGGGAAAACTCTTTAATTTCACTTCTAGTATTTGAATTCAATGAAAAAAGGAAAAGATATTTCTGGTGAAACAAAAAAATCCTTTTTACAGTTATTACAAAATGTTATTTAACAAATTCATACAAAAGCTTTTGTTATTTCACCGGAGGGAGGAGGTATAGGTTTTTAGACTAAAATACACCGAAAACGTTCCTTTTATGTCCAATTTCAAATGAATTACACCTACAAACTTTTATTTGATTAATCATTTAGGGTAAATTTTACATAATGTAACTAAACTGAAAGATAAAGAGATTATTTCAAAATCTGGTGACGTTTTAAAGTCTGATTTCAATGGATAAAAAAGATTGAGGGCGCTTTTGATTTGGATTCGACGGGAATCTAGGCGCACTTGAAAAGTGAAAATTTCATTGATACGACACATAATATTTTAGCATCCTATTGATAAATCTGGTTTTTGTGACATAGAAAAAGGAAATGCGCATGTACTTTTCCGATAGTGTGGTTTGATTTGCTAAAATATTGTTAGAAGAGTCATTTGGTACAAAATGTTACACAACTCACATTTTCCTATATATTTGCTATCTCTGGGTCATTGCTCCACGATCTTATATTTAACTCGAAGATCTGTATTTAAAAGGAATGAGAGAAGACCCATAGACCATAAAAAATGAACTCCCCCCCCCCCCCCAATCACATTGTGTAAATGCTCTACTTCATTGTCGTTTTTAAATCACAGAGCATAGAGGTATATATTACCTGTCCATTACGCTGAGGAATCGATATGTTTTGGTTCGATCCTAGCTTTATTTTTTAAAACAAACAGTTCTATTGAATTGTCAATTTGATTTTATTTACTGTTGTTTTAGAATTTAAAAACGAAATTTAATTTTGATTCTGTTGCACCTTGATCAAGAGCAATTTTTCCTATCCCCTATCATTTAGATATATTTGCATTTGACTAAACACTATTGTCTGATAGCTGTTTATTAATTTTTGTGTAATGTTGCATATTATGATATCTTAACTGTTAAGTAAATCAGACTTAAGGATGACGTTTACTCAGATGACAAAAATTTTTCACTGATTAGAATGAAAAACCACCTATTGTACACTGCAGCTGTAGACATATGATTGTAGTGTTAGTATTCACTTTCAAACAACTAGGTCAATGACCTACTTTTCAAGCTAGTGGCCCATGAGTATTTCTCAGAAAATACCTAATTTTTTTACATTATAACCAGTATTTTTTTATTAACAAAATATAACAGGTAATAAAACTCTTGCATAAAAATAAAATATTATATGTTTGGAATAGTTTTGCTGAATATTAATAAACAATTAGAGTTTGAAGCATAAACCTATTAATTATTTCAGTCCAAATTTCCTCTGTCAATCTAATTGTTACCCATTTTTAATCTCATATTACAAAAGTTTGAATGATAAGAACTGTAATTTAAACTATTTATAGCATCAGTTAAACGTTTCTTGCCCTTATATATTCTGCTGGTGTTAAAATTATATTAGGTCAATGATCAAGTTGTCTGGAATTGTTTTTGTTCATATTTTTCTTTGCATGCCATTCGATTATTTGAAATTATATGTGAGCTTTAACACACATAATAAATTCATAAATTTATGAACAATTTTGTCAGAAAAAAAAATGTGAGAAAAATTAAAAATTTGGTCCAAATTTCCTCTGCGTCACCATAAATTTACTTTTGTTTTTGCATGTTTTCTTCAAATAAGAAATATCAAATTTTAAATTAATATTGAGGTATAACATGGCTATTTAGAATATTTTTTTTTATTAAACACTTTGTACTTATAGCATTCCGTTTCTGTCAAATAAAACCCTGAGTAAACGTCCTTTAATATTTTTTGACATGGTATTTCAATTGAATGTAACATTACCTTTCTGCGTAGCTTTCGTAGAGTCTGTCCAGTTGTGGTCAGCGTTCCAAAACATCTACTTGGATATTTAAAATATGAATGATTCGTACTAATGAATCCTGTAGATAACATGCCATATATACGCCCCCCCCCCCCATAACACCCCCTATAAGAAAAGAGGTGTACATCTTATTAAGAGCAATTAATTAATTAATAGTCACTTGTATTAGAGTTATGAATATATTACTAATAACGTGTACTAATTTGCACTAAATAAAATTTTAAATGCCAAACATGTTGAATTGTATGTAAAATGTAGGCAGGTTAGCGTTTGCAGTTCTTTTGTATAAAAGACTTTATTTAATATTGGTGATCTGACAAATCTGTCCTACAGATCAACCATCCAAACATAACATAACATATGTATTGTGTGAATATTGTCATTTATAAGATGACAATATAGCAAATATTATCATTCTATATAATGATAACAAAAACAAGCTAAGGGAGATCCAGACAATACTGACAGCACAAGTTGCTTTTATAAAAATCCCTGAATATGACAAAGTGATCTCCCCTGTTACACAACTTTACAAAACCTTGACAAAATAAAATACAACATATATAAACATTTCCCCCAAACTATCCAAAAATAATATATGTATGTATATATATATATATATATATATATATATATATATATATATATATATATATATATATATATATATATATATATATATATATATATATATATATATATATATATAAGAGCAGCGATGTAATACATACAAGACAAAAACTGCAGTCCTTGTATGTAATCCATACTTTACTTTTCAATATATACATTCATATTTGGTCAATGCTGTTAGGCAGGTTAGCGTTTACAGTTCTTTGTATAAAAGACTTCATCACTCGACCTAACGACAGAAATTTATTGTATGGTGTTATGTCTTATTTGAGATTTTGATCGGAGATGTCATCTGTTTTAGGGAAAATGCTATATTTGGACCTATCCTTGGCACGCACAGCCATATATCTTAATCGTGCCAATGCCAGATGTGACCACTGGATCTAGATTTTGAAGATCTTATCCAAAAGATCTGAGACTTTCGTTTCATTCCTGGGTGCTTGGTGAAGGAACGGCTACTATTTAATATGTAAAATGTCGTTAGTTTGAAGCAGCGAGAACGAGAATCGAACTCAGTCCTCATGATCACAAGACGAGCGTCCTACCACTAATTAAGCTACATGTAGGTAACGCGATCGGCCATCGTAACAAGCTGAAATTTCGCAGCCTAAATGGTGACCCTTATAAACATTGTAAAATACTGTTCTTGCTACCGCAAACTGAAATTATCCATTATTATGCACTTGATACTGCTTGACCCAGTTATACATCCAAAAAAAAGGTAATTGTTGTGTTCCACTTATTCTATAATTAGAGTTGTCAGGGTGCTGATATTTAGCCTGTTGCCTAGATCACAATCAAAATAAGGCAGATGTTTTTCATAATGAAAGGCTTAATAAGGCTTTTGTAATTTACGAGATTAAGATCCAAAATAATTCTTCTAAATTACACCCTGTTAATTCAGTATATTTCACTTAATACGCTATATATGTGTTTATAAACAGAATAACACTGTATGTTAATAGGAGAAAAATGGGGTAGATTCACAATGACATTTTTATGTTATGTAAATGTAAAAAAAATAATGTTATTGCATGTTCATTCATTCATTATATCTATAGTCCATTAGTAGATGATTCAAAATACCTTAAAAAGCATGCATATTCATCTCCAGGAGACAATGTTTTTCAAAAAACGTAAACGTAATTTGTCACTCAAAACTCATCTAATTAAATCAGTTTTAATAACTTGAGAACACGGGTGATACGTAGAAGCTTTATACATTGAAACATAATCCCTTTGGTGTGATATTCATTTTCTTTTTGTGAACAGCTGTGACATGTTTACATCCGGCATTATTAATCCTACAGTTAAAATGATGCACCAGATTTAACGATGATCAGATTTCTAAATTTAATACAACCTGTTGCATTGTTGCATCTGAGCAGATCGAAGCTCAAAGATAGCAAAATTCCATCTCTCTAAGATATCGCTAATCATAATAAAACGCAATCGGAGGGGATCAATTACTGAGTCTGTAAACAAATTTATTCAAGGGTATTTGTAAAAACGTGTATTTAGAATGACCTCGTAAAGCTATTATGTTTGTTTGCTATGCTTGTTTAATTTAGGCTGAACGATGACCCAATTTTACGTCATAATACAAAGATTTTAGCTGACTGATGGTCGGAATTCTCTAAAAGGACGAAAAACAAAAGGTATCAAAACTATTTAATTCAAATATGAAAATTATTATGTCGTTTTATATCAGAAGTAGAGATTTGAATTTTATTTTGCCTATAATGATAGGAATGCTCTCTCCTATATTATAGTACATACTATTGGATTTTTCCTTCTTTTTTTATACATATTAGTATATGTTATTGACGTTGAAATAATTGTGTAATGTGCCTTAATTCAGTGAATTATGTTTGTTAAAAGAAGAATAATATTAAATAAGAAATATTCGTTTTATCTGTTCTTTGATGAAAAAAAGTTTCCTATAGGACCTTGCGCATGCTCTTGCTACTTTCCAATATAAATATTAAATATATATCTTATAGATATTAAATATATATCTTATGAATAATGTCAAAAGTTTAAAGGTATAAATTGCTTCGATATCCTTTTATCAAACTCTATATGTACATGTAAATGTTTTAATTATGTGTAAACCTGCGGAAAATTGACAGGAGGTTGTGTTGTATAACTTTCTTTGTGTTCAATATAGAGTTCGATAACGATTTAATACTTTCATTGATCACTTATATGCAGAGAAAAATACTTCAACATGGAATTGGCACTCTTTTGAACATCAGAAAAATGTTTAAAATAAAAAGTGTTATTCCGTGATTATGATTTGCGAACTTGTTTTATGTATTGCAAACTGTTCGATAAAATGCAAGGTAATATTTAACAACATTATCAAACTAGCTCGATTATAACCAGGATAGGTGTGTGTCCCTCGAAAGTTTTGTCACTTTCACTAGATTAATCGGTGACAGACGGCGAAAAGTCCTGGAAAGTCAAACGTCTGTGTAGATGGATTAGATGCCTGTTTGTTCCTTAGTCCATCTTTTTTCCTGTTCAATATTTGAAATTTATTTGATTTAAATGAAATTAATACAAAAGGTTGATCGTTGACTGAGGTTTTTCATACAAACTGTTAGGCCTTATTTTGATGATGTATTGTCTACGGATTTCTCCTTTTACCCGATAATGACAAGGGACTAACGGTAAAAAGTGATGTATACTCATGCTTACTCATCCATGGCACCTGATCCAACCTTTGATGTTTCAGGAGTCCGTGTTTGCTCTTTTCTTTATTTATGTAGCAATGTGTAGAAAAATACCCTTTTCATCTGCATGACCTTGTCAGCAAGTACATTCTATAATTAATTCTATAATTAAGTCAACTGTGACTGATGTTTTTCATATTAATTGTATGGCCATTATACACTGAATTGTCTACGGATTTTCCGTTTTCCCGACCATGACATGAGAACACGGCGGATGTGACCGGTCGTCAGGGTTGCTTACATCTCCATGGCACCTAATCCCATTTTGGATGTTTTTAAGGTCCATGTCTGCTTTCCTCCCGATTTGTATCGTTTCACTTGACTTTTGAGCTTGATAACCGATTACTGTTCGTTATCTCCATATTTCATTATGATTCTTTGATTAAACTTTTAAGCATTACCACGTATTTGGACAGGGGGCTCTGTGTAGCGCAGTGATTCTACAGTCGTGGAACAAGAGGTAACAGGTCGGAATCCCACTGTGGGACGTGGAATCCAGTCCTTCAGATAAGACCATGGGTATGTAAGCCGTGGTGTTCTGTTAAGTAACCGCTGGCACGAATTACATCCTCACTTTCAATGATCACAAGTGCGGAGTACAGTTCTAAATTTGCAGCCGTCCACTATTACTTATTATCTTTGTTACTGAGTGACCACAGAAATATTATGAGCTGTTCAAGTCCATGGAAGGCTCGACCTCGCCTTTGCCTCGCCTTCCATGGACTTGAACTGCAAGTAATATTTTTGTGGACAGTCAGTAACAAAGATAAGTGTTTCGTTTTGTCGAGCACCAATAAACGTTAATAAACCTACGAAAATCAATTACAATTGAACGATTTTCTTCTCTGATCAAATCTCCTTCACTCGTCATCTTGTTGTTTATACCCATAACGTCAATTAAGAGGGGCGCTACTCTTAATGTAGTCACAGCAATGCCAATTTGGTATGGTCATAGTGAATTAAGGGCATGGTTTTTCCTTTAATTTAGATGACAAACCGTCGTTTTTTCGCCTTTTTTCCTTCTAAATTTTGCAACTCGGCCGCCCAAAGAAATACTAAAGCTTGACGTCTATTATCCAATATCAGAGCGTCATATTCTAGTCCGAGGCAAAACAACCTTCCAACACGATGAAAATTTCCCAAAGGACGTAAAGCAAACAACCATATATAAAACACGGTCCAGGTTACGAAAAAATATTCAGGAATGTATTTTATTCTCTTAATTAGAATTGATTTGTTTCAGTAATTGTTGTTTCATAATATAATTTGCTGATTTAATTAAACTCCATTTAACAATATAAAGAGAAATAATTTTCAAGATATTATGTCAAATTATGTTTTATGTCCGCCATCTTTCACGGTAGGCGTTGGCACGATAAAGAACATCACTGTTCAATGGCACTGAATGCAAAGAAAATGCCTAAATTTGAACCCTTCATCGCTATATGGTGACATCTCTATATGAGTGAAAAATTCTCGAACTGGACATAAAAACAACATACAATCAGTCAATCATATACCTTTATTATTCTGATTTATATTAAAAAATTGTAGACAAATTTTAAATATTTCCTGATTTGCGAGTATATTAATTTAGATATATACATGTCTTGCAGGAATTATCATGAGGTCAATGTTTTCATGTATATCTAATATTTTCATCTATAGCTGACATTTACCTGTATCCATCTTAAAAAGAAAATACGGACATTTATCAATACCTAGACATTTTCATGCATAGCATCATTTTTTTTATATATTTACCTGCAGAGCCAAGTATAAAAAGTTAAGTCTCTGTGGAAAACTAGATGAAAAAAACATGGTATGATGTAGTTTTCTACAAGTTATTAACCGTACAGCGAACCTTACGATTTTCTACCCCGCTGCTCTTATTGTAGGTAAAATTCTCCAGCATTATTAACCTGATTAAAGAAAATTTGGTTATTTTGTATATATAAAAATTGGTTAAAAATAGAAAAGAGGTAATGAATTAAAAAAAAATTGCTTTAAACGATACACTAAGAAACTTTTAAGATTGTTGCATGGTGCCATATATTTCACAAATATCCTAGTTTATCGTGATTGTGGGTTGAATATAGGGGAAGTTGCTTTAACTGTTGCAGGTAATTCTTGAATATTAAACAGAAAAAATAATTAAGATAAAGAACAGTGATTAATGTCATAAATCATATAAATAATACGAATCGTGAACAGAACAAAACACGAAGCCCTTAAAATACCAGAGGTGGACTGAGGTATCTAGGAGGTTTGAATACCGGTCACGCCCGCCGTGAGTCTTCTAAATGGAGTAATTCAAAATCAAATTAAGTATAAATGAATGGCCTATCAATTGGTGGAAAACATTCCATCCAACGATAGGTTGCATTTGCAATAAATGTTGTTATTATACCTCTACTGTAATTACTTCATATAAAATTAATACCATAAAACTGTCTATTTCCACGAGAAGAGACTATTTCCCTCATCTGAGGACTACTCCCTGGAAAATCAGAGCTACTCCCTGGGACTACTCCCTCATGAATATTTATAAGTAATTTTAACCAATCAAAAAGTTCAGTGGGCGGAGCGTTTAAGAAATCTCAAGTCTGTGACGTAATGTTATTAGCAATGTAACCATGACGTCAAAATATTTTGACATGCGATGTCAAAATCATACTGGAATTATAGCAAAAGGAAGACAACGATAATTCTTCAAAGTGTCAGTGAAATTATCATATATTTTTTAATAATTTTATTTTCCTTGGTATTGATGCATTAGTTATCTTACAATATTTTTAATCACATGCATTTGTGATTATTTAAATGCCTCTATATTGTTTAAAAAAATGTCTGAGTCTCTAGTTTCATAAATCTCCCATGATTGTTTCGGTATAATAAAACAGTTATGGAATGGGTACTCGGGAAATAGCAAATTTATGGTTCCCCAAAGGAGGAAACTATTTCCCGAGGCGGGGAACCATAAATTTGCTGTTTCCCTCGTACCCATTCCATAACTGTATACTATAAAGAATTGCTGACTTTAAACTAGACTATCAGAACCACTGTAATATCTTCTTTTTTTTCGGTAGACAGCTAAGCTTTAAAAAATTATCGTAATCAATGCATGCTCTTGTGTACAAAAGTAAAAAAAGACACCATATAGAGATGATCGTTGAATTTTTATTCATACTCGTAAATAGGGGAAATTGATTATGGAAAAGCTTAAGTCTTCCTGTTTGTTATAGATTTTATGTACATGTAAGTTACTGGTAAACCCTTAGAGTAATTAACACATCCAAATAAATCAGATTTTGCTCACTCTCTGGTGTCTATTTCATCTTGTCTTTCAAAATAACTGGTAAATATGAAGTCGGTAGATAAATAAAATTGAACATTGTTGATTGATGAAATAATTGATATATCAAAAGTGCTGAAGAGTTTTTGTTTGTTTAGACAAAATGATTTTAAAGAAAGTAATTTTGTAAATGATCAATCACTAGAAATTGATATTCCAAGTTCTATTATAATTGTAGACGCAGTTGTCTTTGATGTCAAAAAGTCTGGTCTTTAATTAAGCATGAGGAAGAATTGTAGAAAATGTTGAAAAGTCATAAAATTTGATGTTATTTATTTGGGGTAGGAACGTGCTTTCAATTTCTGGTAAAGTTTTTCAGAGTTTTTTTTTCCAGATTTTACAATTGATCTACATCACTTTTTGAAAATGTTGCAACACTTTATGGCTGAAGGTTCTCCACTTCAGCAATAAATATATGTTAGGCACGGTAGAGCATGTACTAGGTCCCGCTATGTATCGTTGTTTGAAAATGTTTTCATGAAACATTAAATATCATTTCTGTCGTGAATATCTCCTGAGTTATTTATTTAGGTTACATCCTATCTTTCTAAAAAAAAAAAAGTGAATGAACTAAATGAATACAATGATCGAGCGAGTAGAAGTTTTGTTTAAGGAAGATTGTTTGCTATGTATAAGGCTTCAGATAAACATATACGTAACAGATGTTTTAAAATTGCTTAAAGCGTAAACCCTTAATTTGGTCTAACTACTTTGATTAAAACATAAAACTCTAACAAGTTATGCATGATAAAGAGATTTTGATAATCACAAATATACTTTTTTTTCAAAAACAATGATTATTTTATAGTTAGCGGAGAGATTTGAATACTCCTTAGCTTGCGAATCTGTCAAAAGCCAGACAATACTAAATTTATAGTGAAGAACTGTCTCATAAATCAGAAACATGCTTATATAAAGAGAATCATGACAAGAAATCTTTATATTACACCAAACACAAGGTGTCTATACAGCATATAGTTTTCTTTCTTTTAATCTTGTCGATACTTCGTCTAGAAAGACAGGAATAGCTATATAGTCATAAACAAGAGACATGCTAAAGAAAATCAACAAATGAGAAAGCAGCTCTGCATCAGAATTTATAGAAACTCAGCGAACAAAATTACAAATAAATTAGATCAGTTTCTTTTTTAAAATCTTAAAAAGAAAAACAAAAAATGGCACGGGCTTTCATTTCAAAGACAAAGCCTTCTTACCTCCATTTGAATTTTGTATAGATACAAATTTGTGCCATCTTTACATTCAATCGTTAATAGTCTTTTTTTTTACTCTCTCTCTCTCTCTCAATGTGATGACAGATTTCATAATGTAGTTTGTATGACTAAAATGCAAATGTAATAGCTAGTTTTTTTTCTTTAATTAAGTTTTAACTAAATTCGTACATAATGTAGGTTTGCTACCAAAGAAACAGAAATTGATCATTTATTTAGCTTGGGTGTATTACGAAAAGGATGGCCGCCCTTCCCTTTAAATTGTTTCGTTGACAATCCTTTTTTTAATTATTGTTTTACCTCTGATGGAGGAAAAAATAAGTAACATACCAGGGCTTTGTAAAGGTATAAAAGCTTTAATTTAAAACTAGCATGCTGTATATCCATATCTTATTTATTATTCAGAGGGATGAACTGGAGTGGTGCTTTCAATCTGCAATTGTACGAGTACATCCAAAACTACAGCCAAAACACCACCATTCATGGATGGATCGGTGACATTGGAACAGACACATTCCTCAGGAACTCCAGGATATTTTATTCTTACTTTACGCCTGTGATTCTTGTTGTGGGATTTGTAGGCAATTTATTATCGCTTTATGTATTCTTATCCAGGAATATGAGGGGACTTTCCGCCAGTACTTATCTGGCTGCGTTGTCGACGTCAGATCTCCTGACGTTGATATTTTACGTTACAGTGGAATGGCTTAGAAGAGGACTTATGTATTTAAAGCCCGATGTTATGCTAACATTTATTGACGTCGATGGACTGTGTCAATTTCAACATTACATGTCTTATATGTCCCGATTCCTCTCGGCATGGTTGGTGGTTGCTTTCACGGGAGAGAGATATATTGGTGTGTGTCATCCTTTAAGGAGGCGAGATATTTGTACAAAAAGTGGAACACGACGAATAGTAGGTTCAATATTTGTCATTTCCGCAGTAGTTGTGCTGTATAAACCAATTCTGAGTGCTATATATGTGAGCTCGGACGGTAAACATTACTGCACAACAGACAGAGACTATGATTTTGTGTCTTTTATTTTGGATAGCATTTATGCTGTGCTGATAACTCTAGTTCCATTCATAATCATTACAGTGTTGAATATTTTAATCATGCGCAGGCTGATCATCAGGAACAAACGTAAACGAGAATGTAAAATTGTTACAGAAGAAAGCATCATTAGGCTAGAGTTCACAATTATCTTGTTAGCAATCTCGTTCTGTTTCATTGGATTGAACATTCCGTTCTTTGCCGTATGGTTTCGAAATTTCCTGCATTCCAAATACATATCTCGTGTCGACGTTCTCGAACACTTCTCCTCTGACATTGAATTTTGGCAAGGCGTGCTTTACATCACAAGGACTATCTTCTACGTAAATTACTGCATCAACTTTTTCCTCTACAGCATTACCGGGGCTTATTTTCGGAGAGAAGTGAAGATGTTGTTCACGTATCATTCGTTAAAGAGAGATTCTTATAGCAGGTGTTCGTTACGGAATTCGCGCTCAAATTCCCAGACTCCACAGTCATATCTTTGAATCATTTAGAACAACTGAATTCCGCTCCATCGAATAACATACAAATTAATTTCCGAAGGAAATTATCTCTTCTGCGACAAGGCTTCGTAAATTGACGGGTTTAAGTGTTTATGTCAGACAGATTTCCTATTTCAACACACCGGAGGTCTTCATGTGCTTTTTTTTCAATGTGCCAACTAAAAGATAAGTCCAGAATTAAGCCATAACCAGACAACGTTGTCAAGATCACAAGCATCTTTGTATGAAATAAAGATAACAATTTCAAGTTTCTTTACATGATGCAATAACATTATACTCAAGTACATACTGCAAAAGTACTTATATTAGCGGTAATATAATTTTAGCGCCTTTCGCACAGCTTATCGTCCGCTATTTTAATTGCGTGCTAATATAAACATATAGAAGCTTGGCTCGAAATGCTTTAATTTATTATTACACTAATCGGTTGTTGAGGAGGATTGCGTTTATTTTTGAGTGCGCTAATTTATATACGTTTACAGTATATTTTCACACTTTAATACACTTTTTCAATGTCATTATTTGAAGATTAAAAAAACAAGTATATTTTCAATAACAAATGGATATTTATTGTTATCTTACGATGTATAAAACTATGACTTATAAATTGATGTCATAGTTTTGTATGCTCTCTAAGCAACTGTAGATCTTGTGTGTTTTATACCATGGCAATTATATACACAACGACTTAAACTTTCGATCCAAATTAAATATTCCAAGATACAGTTCTATTTTTGTTTTCGTGCTTAACACTTTGTTGTTATTATGGTACATCTACAGTTTAGTATGGGACATAAGGGAACCCTCAAAGTTCAGTTCCAGTTTCCTTTTCAGATATATAAATAAATCACGCTTTACAATTTTTGTTACTGTCGAAACATATTTGAGATGAAACTTGTTAGTTCGAATCTTGATTCTTATAAAGGTATCATCTGATTTGAAAAAAAATCACGGCAATATTTCAAATTTAGAATTAAATATTTGATCTTACTCGAGCAATGTATTATAAGTTACTATGATAATATCTTCAAATGTCTTCCATTTCCCATTATTTATTTTATCCAGGTGCCTAGAACATGAGATCAATATCTAGAAAATAAATACATTCCTTTAAAATAACCACAACAGTAACTCCTACATATCTTTTCAGCAAATTGCCCACCATGATGATGAACATAAGCAAAGTGTATGAAATATGGAGATAACGAACAGTGTTCAAGCTCAAAGTCCATTAAAACAATACAAATCGGGGGCAGAGCAAACACGGACCTCTAAAACCATCAGATGTGGGATCAGTTGCCATGGAGGAGTGAGCATCCCCTGCCGACCGGTCACAACCGCCGTGTGCTCCTTGTCATGATCGGGAAATAACGGGAAAATTCCATTGACAATTCAGGTGTAAATAATGGTCTAACAATTAGTATGAAAAACGTCAGTCAGCATATGACTTTATGATAGATTATATTTGCTAACAAGGTCATTGTATCGACCATAAAACTTACGAAATGATGATTTTAAACGAGACCATCGATATTCTTGTTTCATCAACTTGTTTATCAATAACTTACATCGTTTTAGAAATTGTTGAAATTTCTCCTGCGATGTGTATCTTATTTGACCATATGTTTTATTTTCTGTCCGAGCTTTTAAAATCATTAATGATACTTATTTTACCTGATCATTTAAAGATGGGGTGTCCGTGTTTGCTCTGCTCCTATTTTGTAATATTTAATGGACTTTTGAGCTCGAATACTGTTCTTTATCTCCACATATTTCATTAATGCTTACTCAGTCAAGTGGTTCAGATCTCAATGAAGTTATTAATGAAATGCTAGATGTTTAAAGACAGAATGTCTAACCTTGACCATTTACATGGCAAAGCGCTAATGTTTAATTCAAATGTGTGATGGCCTATGATAGAAACGCTTTGTATTACATGTATATTATTCAGATGTTACATTTAACTGTACTTGTATACTGCATGTAATTTTTAAGTGAATTTGTCAAGAGTCTCCAAAACATTGTGTATTTCGTGATCAACCGTTGGTGACAGGTTTAGAATAAATGACAACCCAAACACGCTGAAATATGTGAAAATGGCTGATTAACCATTCAAATGATCAAAAAGCAAAAAAAGACCATTTTTAAGATCAAAACACCAGCCTTTCCCTGTATTGTAAATAATTTATTATTTTACGTAGATTTAAAAAAAATCGCTCGGTGTATTGAATAAAAAAAAGAATACGACTATGTTTTCTTATAAAGAACTTTATAGTATAGCATATATTTACGTTTTCAATGTACTTGTGCAGACACATTTAAAATTTATTCAATTTGGGTCCAAACCACTCGAGTAGATTAACACTTCATGTATCTTACATTTAGAGGAGACCGCAGATTCATTTATAATACATAATCCAATTTTTTTTTCAAAGAAAACATAATAATATGTACTTATACTTAGACAGATGAATTAGGCCCTTACATGACCTGATCCGAGATATCACACTTCTAGGTAACATAAGGAACAAAAAAGATGTTTGCTTTAAAATAAGAAGCCGTATTTTTCTAAAAAGGTGTCTAAAGAGCATGAAAAAAGGTTAAGTTGTGGTTCATTAAATATGCTACCAAATCAACTCTTTTTAATTTGAAATTTGGAATTTTGAAGGGATTTTTTTTAAATAATTTTTTTTTATTATAATAATAAAGTAAGATAATATTGAAGTATTTATTAATATTCAAATTAAGATAGTACGATAAATCATAAACATCTATATACTATATTCTACTATTAGAATATAAGAAATTCCCAGCAAGGCGGCTTTAATATAAATACTGTACCACTGTGTTACTATTAAATCGATTAGAAAATAAGACACTATAAAAAAAATAGTTGTCTTAATGTTGATCTGTTATCAACTGCACTCAGTAAAATCAAAATTCTAATGACAGAACAATAATTATGCCCTCGATATTAAAATAAAAGCATTGAAAGCTTTCAACATTATTGGTTCTCATAGCAGTTAACTACTGAGAGTCCAATAAACATGACAATGAAGGAAAAAATTGCATTTATCTTGTTTTTAAAGATGCTTCATAAAATTACAGTCTATAGCTATCAACTGGGAAAATATAAGCACAAAACAACACATGTCACTTAATTAGCATAACATGGGAAATAAAATCATTGATGATCTTTAATGAGTTAACAAACAATATATCAAAAACAAAATGAAAAATAGTGAGGTTGTGATCAATAAGTACAAAGCTGTTTACGAAGTTGGTCAAGGCCTATCGAACCCGATACGAGCATGGTGTGAAAAATTGTTTTCGTTTTGTGGTAAAATTGTATTTCCCTTACGACGAAAATACATGTATTTAAAAATGAAACCTCAGAGCCTGCCTCACGAAGGGCAAATTTAAGATATGTAACTTGTCTTAAAATCAATCATCACTGAGCAAAAAATTCTTTAAATATGTTCAGGATTTTAATAACATTTCAAAGCCCATTGCTTTTATTGATACAATGTTTCGAAAAATTATTTATGAAATAGGAAGAGAAAGGTATTTCAAACAGCTTTCAGCATTTCGGAAACCCACAGGATTTAACTCCACATCTAACGGTGCCCAATTTCCTACAAGCTCTATTAGATAAGACAATACTTCTATATTAAAGATCTACACATTATTTTCTAAAGTACATGTGATTAAAATATTTTTTCTGAAGATATCAATGCTATATTTGGTTATAATTGTACAAGCATTACCCAATCAGATCTCCTTTATTACCTGACCTGTTTTTTAAATTCCTATGAAGCAAGATTTATTTGAAAAATTCTACATGAGAAGGAAACGTTGTGGCCTTCAGTTCGTTTGTTTGTTTGTATGTTGTTTAACGTCCCTCTCGAGAATTTTTCACTCATATGGAGACGCCACCACTTGCCGGTGGAGAGCTGCAAATTTTGTCCTTTTCTCGTCACTTACGGCCTTTGAGCAGTGAGAGATCTTTTTCATGCAAGCACCTACTGCGACACGGGACCTCGGTTTATACGGTCTCATCCGAACGACTGGTCTCCACGTCTCGCAGTGGGATTAGAACCCGCGACGTAAGGATCAACTCCTTACTCCGCGACTCTAGAGCAGACGCTCTAACCACTGCGCCACACTGGTGACGCCTTCTTTTCGTTATTCAGCTGTATTGACAACGCTTTAACAATTAACAGTAGTTATTTTCATTTTTCTGTCGACTCTGTACACTCCGGTGAACTCGAAATAAAAATCATTACAGAGTTTATTTACGACGCGGGTTCGAATCCATTGTGAGACGGGGAGACTAATTCTTCGGATGAGACTGTATAAACCGAGGTCCCGTGTTGCAGTAGGTATTGACAGGAAAAAGACCCTTCACTGCTCAGTGGCCCTGAGTGCCGAGCATAAGTATAAATTTGCAGCCCTCCACTGACAAGTGGTGGCGTCTCCGTATGAGTGAAAAATTAAACAATATACAAACAAACAAACTAACTATAGACGACGAGGGCCAACTTAGAACTATACTGTATGACATACAAGACGACTTCAAATTTTCCATTGTCAGTTTTCCTCACTTATATAGCAATATTCCACTGTCACCTGCCTATTGTGTTTATGTCTCCCAACTTATTCGATACTTAAACTCTTTTCATGTCAGCATTTCGTTAATTCTATGGTCGTCATATTGACCCTTTTAGAAAATACAGCCTGGATTGTATTTTTGACTCACACATTACATACCATTACATACCATTTGTTAGGTTTTTGTTTTAATACTGTTTGAAAACAGATGAATCCGACTTCCTGATCGGTCGACAGGGGATAATAACTCCTCGTAGGCACCTGATCACACCTCTGGAATTTCCAGGAGTCTGTTATTTATCCCTGTTCACAGATTTTGGTAAGTTATTCGAGATCAATCACTGTTCCTTATCTTCACCTATTTTATTTCAAAGTATTTGCATGTACATTTTTGTATATCTCTCCCATATATCTTCATGTGGGGTCTCGTATTTACTTGCTTATTGAATTTCAAAGGATTTATTTGAAAAATATGAGGAAAAAACATCTGTATGTATTAGCCAATCAGAATTCAGCACACTTAAGTGCATACGTTGTCCTTGTTTTCAATTTTCATAGTTGGAACACATTATACTTTTCTATGTTCTAAATTTCGTCTTGTTTTATTGAAATCGAAGAAGTGATAGCCATTTAAAGTATCAGTCAATCAAACAGCAGCGTACATTAACACACATTTTCCAGAATTTTCTTATAAAGCATATTGTAGAACCTCACATTACCTAATTTGTAAATTTTTAAGCATTTTGTCAAAAAACAAGGAGGTTATTGAGATTTTTGTGCCATCCAATAAGAGCAAAGCATTCGTGCGTGCGGGTGCTTTCATACTAATATTGTCTGCATTATTAATATAATTATATTTATAAATTGATTTTCAAAGTATTTCTACAAACCATATGAATGTTAGAGGTTTTTCAACTGTAACAGTAATTTCACTCATCGCAAAACACATGTGCATGAAATTGCGTACAAAATATGTTTTGTTGCGCACATCTGTGTATCATGCATGTTGACCTAATAAAAGTTTCATTTCAATGGGATGACTACTTTCCAAGAACTCTCTCGGACAAAAAAGTACCGAAGAAGAAATTTTATAGAGAAATTCAAAACCGATATG